CCCTCCCTCCTCTCTCTCTCTCTCTCTCTCTCTCTCTCTCTCTCTCTCTCTCTCTCCTCTCTTCTCTTCCCCCCTCCCATCCCCCCTCCCTCACCCCTCTCTCCCTTTTTCCCTCACCACTCTCTCACTCTCTTGTTATAACTCTTATTATAATTGCACTAAATCGTAATTATAATTAATTATATAATATATAGTATAATCTCAAATTTATATAAATTTCAGATTGTAGGGAGATGTAGATAAATGATGAGGTTCATTCAATGATCAAAGTTAGTAAAGATTTACGATTTTATGACTTTATTATTTTATATTTCTTTGCATAATAAATCCAATTTAAAAACAAAATAAATACGTTTTTATAAAGTTATTATGTAAAATTTTGAATTTCACACAATAATTTTCAATGTGGAATCTCTGAAAAGTTGTAGGAATGTATGAAATAAAAACATAAAAATTTCATATTATTGCCGATACTTTATATTAATAATATCAACAACAAATGTATTTTTATTTAGACAAATAAAACTGATAAATGACATACAATATACATATAAATACATATAAAATATATATATATACAGGGTGTCTGGCAATAATCGCCCCACCGGTCATATACAGGTAGAGGAGGTCAAATCGAGTAGAAAAGTCCTTTACCATTTTTTGATTTTTGTAATATGTACTAAGTAATTAACGAAAAAGATTGGTGAATCCGTGCAAGTAAAGCGCGCGCAGCGAGAAGGACATCCCACTGCTATGCGATCACTAGGCGCGCGATGAAGCGTTGGGAGGAGCGCTCTACAAATGACAATGGCAACATACGAGCGGCGCGTAACGCTAGATCCTTGTGTCCTAGTGATCGCGTAGCAGTGGGACGTCCTTCTCACCGCGCGCGCTTTACTCGCGCGGATTCGCCGATCTTTTTTCGTTAATTACTCAGTACTTATTATGAAAATTAAAAAATGGTAAAGGACTTTTCTACTCGATTTGACCTCCTCTACCTGTATATGACCGGTGGGGCGATTATTGCCAGACACCCTGTATACATATACATACCCTGGTGCTGGCCGACTCGAATTTGCATCACTGCGCTCCATGAAATCGTACCTTTACAAAAGATCCGTCAGACGTCTGTACATCGTCTTCGGGTAATGTCTCAAAGACGTAATGAAAAAGACGACTACAAAACGTCGTTAAGACATGCGTGTTGTGTGGGAAGGATATTCTACAGACATATATAAATGATTTCTTCGAGAATATTCTCATAAAAATATATTTGATGCAACTTAGAATATTCATATAACCCATACAGCACAAAACATCCTCAGGATATCCTCCAGGATATCCAGGACATCAGAATATTTCGGTGTCCCAAGGATGTTCTGAGGACATCGAGATCTCCCCAAGATGTCCTAAGGATATGTAGGATATTTTGTGCTGTATGGGAATATTGTGTTATCTGGATCGTCCAAAAACTTTTGATTGACAATATACATATGCCATTTCAAAAATTGAAATTAACTTTGATCTAGCGTTAATGGAAAAACTGAAGGTTAAATTGGTCATTTTATGTCTCCCCGGGGGCGTTGCAATATAGTACGCAATATACGCTCCAACATAAGGCGCAAAATTGTAAGACACCACAAATTTTTTAAGTGTGTAAAAACATGTAGAAATTGACCACTTGGTCTGCAATGACCCGGCGTAACGATGAAAACAGGAATATTAGAAATCTTTTTTCATTTTTTTGCTTCGAACTTAGGGCGCGCGAGCCACTTCCTGCGTACAGGCGCTTAAGCGGTCGCAATGCCCCCGTGTGCCCCTGACACCTACATAGCTTTCATCTGAAAGTTTTCCAATAATGTCTCTTTCGACATATTTAGGTGCATTATTTAATATGGGACATTGTATCTATATCAAATAAATAATGTAACTTTTTATATAATTCTTAATAAGATCGACAAAAAATATTTTGCGTAGAAGACATTTTCTTTATTTTACTTAAATATAATCACATTATATCATTTTGTACATATGTAAAAATATTTGCTAATAGAGCAGGCCATTACTAATACAGCCTGTGATTGTAGAGATTATTACAGAATTGTACTCATCTTCTACACAATGTAGATCGATTTTTTGTTCTCTTTTTATTCCTCAATTTTGCGCATGAGAAATATTAAATTCTTTAAATACTTAATAATAAAATCAGTCAAGTTTAGATAATAAAATTTTACTATGCAATAATAATTGTATACAATACGAGGCAACATTACCACACCATTGTTTTAAATTACAAAAGACAAATAATATCGATTTTCCTTATAACCTTTTCAGTGTTCTCTTTTTATCTTTTAACATTTTTTTCTTTTCGGCTGTTAGTTTCTTATCACTTGCGTGCTTTTTCGGAAGAGGTCCTCCTCCTTCTGAAGAGGCACAACTTTCCAGAACAGTCTTGCTACCTTTACCGCCCCCCTAAAAAAAAACAAAAATTTCTTGTTAAAATTGTGTTAATAAAACTAAAGAAACCTTAGTTTATCAAAATAAAATATTACCTGTGCATGTATTTCCGTCATCATTTTTGCTCGTTCTGAATATTCATCGTGACTTTCTAAAAGTAATTTGCCAGCCTCCTCATTCAAAGCAGATTCAGGATTTGGCACTATTAGTAGACATTTTACAGTCTGAAAACAAAATACAATAATAAATATTGATAATGATATATCATATTTATATAACTACTTGCCAATAATATATGTTGTATTCCAAGATCTGGTTTCCAATCCTTTTTTAAAGTGTTAACACATATCTCGCCATTTTTTGCTACATTAGGATGAAAAATCTTTGTGAGGAAGTAAGCTTTTGGTGGTCCTTGTGGAAAATCCTTTCCAAGAACTAATTTAACTCTAAAGAAACCACTGGCATATGGAGTACTAGCTATTAAAAGAAATCAGACATTAATCTTACATTATTTTAACATTATTTTAACAAAATAAAAGTTCATAATGATCTACTATGACTTTATACTATAATTTTCTAGAATATATAAAGATCTTTTTTCAGCAAAAAACATAACTGACATAATATGATATAGTGTTGACACAAATGCTTTTTTGTAATAACACAAGTTTACATATTTGAGAAGCAGAATATTTGTATTAAAATGATAATTGTTAGCAATTTGAAAAATTTTTATACTAATAGTATATAATATTGAAATATCGTTATCTTTCTTTCACCTTCAAAAATTTAACTCTCAAAATAGACTGTTCATGAATTCAGTTTCTCTTAATGTAAATCAAACTCATGAGTCTATTTTTTTCACGCTTCAAGTAACATTAATATGTTAAAAATTTTCAAAAAACTCACATAAATTCATTGAAGTGTTAATTAAATGTCCAAATCATAAAATTAAATAATAATTTATTTGGAATATTTGATTTTTATTGTTTTTTGAGGTGCAAAAGCTCAGGTTGTTCGCTTAGACATTTGTGACCCATGAGTCTATTTTGAGTTAATTAAATTAAAATTTGCTTAATCAATAAATTATTAATAGCATGAAACTTACTATAACAATAATAAAACTTACCAATGTCAAAATATTTACGTTTTTAATGAAATTATAATTGTAATAGACAGATAATCCATTTTAACATCTACAACTATTCTATATTATCATTTTAAGCAAAAATAACAAGTAAAAATTAGAGACTATTGTTAAGAATAAAAAAAATCACGTTAGCGCAAACTAGCAAGTGTATAAAAAATTAAAAGGCATCAAGCATTTTTATATTGCATTTATGTGACGCAATATTTATTTGTGTTTTCTTGTTAGAAAATGCCCCAAGTTAGGGTTAGGTTAGGTTAAGTTAACATGATCGAAATTGCTTCCCACTGAATATCAATCGTTGGCGAAACCAAGTAAGCCAGGAAAGAAGTGATTAATCCTTACATGGACCTTCGATGACAGCTTGAATGTCAGTGATGTCCGCTTCGTTTAGAATTACACGGATACCTTCAGGTGGCTGCGTGGCCAGTTCTGTCATCTCCTTGGCCACCCGGCGGATAATTTGCGGTGACAAATTTTCCACATTCTGCAAGAACGCGTGATTCACAGTATTGATCTCGCCAAAAAACAGATTCTGGAAATACACAGGTAGAAAAGGCGCAAAATATAAACAAAGAGAAAAAGCGTCTCTAAATCTCCAAATCGCTGTAACGAACTGAACATTTTGCGCGTCGCAATAGCACGACAGAACGGAATACTCACAGAGCTCACAGCGGCAGCCATAATCGCCTCAGAGAACTCGGAGTGCGATCTCGGCCGGGTCTTGCTAGATACGGCTACACTACGTTTTCTCGAATGTTTCTGCACACAGTGCGAGGAAAAATCGCTTAACGTCACAACAATATCGGCACTGCATCAGCCGTAATAACCAACATTTTGAACTGACAGCCAATCGCGTGCCAGGCTTCGACCGTACTCTCGAAGCCAGAAGTCAATTCCTTTCCTGCTCTCCTTCGCCTCCTCCCGCCACTCGCTTATTTGATCGTCCACCCCGCAACGCTCTCGCACTCCCTCTTTGTTTTCGCTTGTTTTTTTACCTTGAGAGTGCATGAGTCCTCAGCGTCGCCAATTTCTAGCAAACTTAACTATCTCTTGATGAAATTACACTTTAAGATGACAATACACAAATAAATACGGGACGTATTCTTTCATCGAAGAAGCGAGATTTATTTTCTCGCGATAAATTTGTGACCTGCTGTCCTTGAATTCTGCGTGTCGCAGTGTAGCGCGTCGCATCTTCTACCCGCCACTACCCGCCGGAACAAATTCAAACGCCGAAGTCACGAATTCTCGCACAATGACGGATGACGGTATAGTCGAGAAGGTAAGTACTCGTTGTTAATTAAAACTCGATTGATTGTGAGAACCGCTCGAAGACGGAGACACAAAAACGTGTCTCTTCATCAAATGACACACGCTTCTTTGGTGTGTAATGGAAAAATCGATGACAGCGAGACTCGATTTCGCAACTGTTAAAGCAATGTTTTATCTTAGGAAAAGCACACGAAACAGCTAAAACGTAAAATGGAATGTTGGCGGGAGATAATACTACCTCTGAATTCAATCCTACTGTGGGAACGTAGTTGGCATCCCGGCCTGATAATCGGACTCGTGACAGTAATATTCTTGTAAGCAAAATCATATATATATATATATATAACTATTTTTAGAGTCTCTCAATTGAGTGTCTCAAAACTGCTGAATTTAATTGCAAATTTTTTTTTACTATACAGAGTCGATGTTTTCTTCATGAAAATTAAACATTGAAATGCACATACACACACACACACAAACACACACACGCGCGCATGCACGCACGCACACACAAAATTCTGTACTTAAATTGTCATAATTTTTGTACCACATTTTTTAATAACAAGCTCAACTCTTACTTTAAAGAAAAATTTCAAGACATAGATAATTTACGAGTTAATGATTAAAAAAGAAGGGTGTTTTGCAAACTAACTAAATTTAGAGCTAAATGAATACTAATGATTCAGTTAATTATAGATAGAGTTTGATAAAATTTTATATAATTTGGTTTTAAACATGTGTAGCAAACAATTTGTACATTACAATAAATGATTTTTCCCAACATTTTGCAAAACAAAAATTGACTTTACATTATTTGAAAAATCTATGATTAAAAATTGATGCAAGATCAAAAAATGCAATATTCTAAATGCGCTTAAACACACACAAATCAAGTGAAAATATGAAAAAAACAAATAAATTATTTTTTATTTAAAATTTTAAATAAACTTTAATTAATGTAATATTAATCTGATACTTACAATTAATTACAAATATACTGAAAAAGAGAAAAGCTATAACAAATGATTGCCTTTGGTACTTATGTAAAAAAATATTACCTCTGTATTAACCAAAGATAATGTTTCTCCTGTTACAGTACTATATGGATTTTAGAACCAGCTCTACTGACCATAATATCTGTATTTTTATTGATATTCGCTCTTGTCGATTATCTCGTGCCGATTTTGACTTCAGTCTTGTGCAATGCGCAGAGTTGGACAGGGCAAAAAGAGAAAAAGCTAATTGAAATTTGTCAGAATCTCTCAGCTGTTATACTGCAAATGCAAAACGTATGGGCATCCATCTCGAAAATTCGGCACGATCGTCCTAATATCGTAAGTTTAATTAAGGGACTGAAGTTGACATGATTTTGCTTTGTGCTGTTTCGTTTAAATTCCATTGCCAATGTTCTTGACTTTTGGACTGAATACTACTAACAGCATTAGATTTCATTAATTGAAATAAACTCTATTATTCACTTTAAACAATCTATAACTTGTAAAAAGATCCAAGATAAAATTTTATTTATTATTTTATTATTTTACACATAATAGAAAATATTTGAAGAAATAGAAAATAATATATAAAATACATATGTGAGCATCTCAGAGCACCTATACTATGTTAAGTTACATTTTTTCGAAAATTAAGTTATTATCATAAAACTCTATACTCCAATTTATATCCAATGACAAATGTTTTCAATGAAAATAGAGATATTGACTGTATAAAGTTAAGTCACGATGTAATGACACATTTATTAAGTAAACAGTATTAAATCGCATCAAAATCATATTCCGTAACTTCATCTTCTGAAATATAGTTTGATATTATATCTGTCATACAGGCATAACTGGGGGTGGGGATGGGGAAGGGGGTGCCCCCCCAGAAATTTCGGAAATAATTAATTTAGATAAAAATAATTTTGTTACTCAGCACAGAGCTCTGTTTAATGTATTAATTTAGTTTAGAATTATTAATCCATCATTAAATGGCTGACAATAAAAGACCTCACAATAGGAATTTAAAATCCTTAAGTAGAAGAGGCCATGACCTTTCCCAGAAAAATTTCTTAGTTACGCCAATGATCTGCAAATATAAAAAAATCTGCAAAACATAGGTATTTGCACTGAGAACGTATCAAAAGCGAAAAATGTCATTAAATCCTCCTCTTGAAAAGTTATGTTTATATGACTTAACATGGTATGAGGTGTTCATATGTATTTTGCATGTATATATTCTAATTCCAAATATTTTCTATTACACAATACATGTATAAAATTATAAGTAAAACTTTGTCTTTTAGATTCTATAGCGGATTATAGATTATCTGCATAAGCTTAAAAAAGGTAAAACAGGTTGGAATAAATCTATTCGAAATGCAATTAATTGAATTAGAGAATTTAAAATTTATTTTTAAAATGTAATACAATGTAATATGAAGTACGGAATAGAAATTGAAATCAATATATTAAATCAAAATATTATTTTGCTGATTGTCAGTTTGAATTCTATTACGAAATTGATCCCTGTTCTTTATCTGTAATAATAGAAATGTAATAATTGATGTAAGAGCCTTTTTGGCATACACATTATATCGGAAAGTAAACGTCGAAATTAGACTGGTATTAATCTTCAGTTTACATGTTTAATCTGTAGAATATAGTAAATCATGTTATGAGCTATGAGCAAATAATTGTTAAAAAAGAAACAACCAACAATAAGAAATATAGAACAAGTGTTTCTTCGATTAATTATATTTTTTGAAATTTTTTCCCTTGTAAAAAAAACTTGTACGTTTTTTAAAATTAATTTTTCACAATGAATTATCTCCTCGCTGCTTGCAGCCTGCTTTATTAAACGCTCTGTATGCATATTATATCTAGATTTAGAAAATAAGAAGTAATTTTTCTTATTTGTATTGCAGTACTATAGTGTAACAATCCTCTGTCTCATTATCTTTGCATGGATCGGCAGCACAGTCAACAATTTGTTCTTGCTTTACATCACAGGTAATGAATTCATAAATAATCATTTTATACAGAATAGATATTTGTATTTCCATATCTGATATATTCATTATTTGAAATCTTTCTAGTAAATGCAATTCTTATCACGCCAGGCCTCAGACACAAAGGACGGGCACGATGGGCCGTAAGATGCGCATACAACCAATTAATTCGTCGCCATTTATCATAATTGTCATTTTACATGTATCCTGTGTCCACTAAAATTCTTGATTCTACATAAATCCCCATTCATAATATCCTACAAAACTATACTAACGAGTTTATATGTGTATCTCACATGCAAATTTCATTCTAAGAAGAATTACCAAAGTCTCCAGCTTCTAACAAAATAAAGTCAGTACAATTTAGTATGTTAGGAGAAAATAGTTGCATTTTATCTTGTGTGATATTTAATCTTGAACTGTATTCACTAACATAATTTATATCTCGTATATAATGGTAATCATATGTCTATATCATATTGTTTCATTACTTATGAGAATTAATAAAACTGTTTTAATTCTCACTAACTTTACCTTAAATCGTTTTATTTAGAAGTGAGTACATATACTGTTATCATTTCTTGCAACTTAAAATACATTGTGAATATTAAAATATTTCGTATCAGCTATTTAATTTGATAATTTGTTCGTCAACATGATTTTGTTTTGCATTCAATTATAATCTTAAGTCTATATCGTATTGTTTCGTTAATTATATTTTGTTGAGAATTAATAAAAGCAATATTTTTATTTTTATCTTTCTCTAATTTTATTTTAAATTGTTTCACTTAACGTACATACATTAGTTGTCCCTGTTTCTTGCAGCTTAAGATATATATGGTTGGTATTAAAACATTATTTTGTACAAGCTAAAATCTTTATATTATACAAGCAAAAAAATATATTGTGTGACATCGGATTTAAAAATGGCGCTGATTGAAAATGGTAAAGTGCCACTGGCTTATAAGCATCTTTTCAGTGACGTACATACATCGAAAACGCTTGAAAACGTGGAAAATAATCAGTTAGACTTGTAACTTATAATCGTATTTTGTTTTGTATATTTCGAGACAAGTTTTTTTTATGAGAACGAGACAATTAATAATTCTACGAAATAACGCGATTAAAGATAAAAAAATTTTCACAAATAAGCAGTAAACCATATCCATTAGTTAGTATAATAATTTTACCACAATACTACCACAGAATTTCAATTTAAAGTCCAAAGTTCACGAAGTGTACATAAATTGAATAAAAATAAGCTGCGATAAATAAGAAGCTATCTTTTATTTATTAAGAAATATGTCGACTTCAAAGTTTGACAAAAAATTTGTGAAGAATTATGATAAATAAACAAAACATAAGTATATGAATTTAACTTTTAAATCGTACAAAATATTGACAGCAAATACGACAGAAACTCTTTCATAACCTCTTAACAGCTACATCACTATTTGATTTTTTTGCGTAATTTCTTGATATAATCAAAATGACGTCGGCTGGCTCATTAAAATAACAAGTGTATTGTCATAATATATATGATACTATTATGCTGTTATAACAAATGCGAAAAACGCAAAAAAAATGACAAGTGGTCTACTTCGAGCTTATTGTATACAATTCGTTTCGATCACTGTCTGTGTATCTGTTTAAATTATCTATTACTTTTATTCATTTTTTTTTACCACTTGCACAACTATAACTTCAAATAACGTAAAACTTACAAAGTAAATCATGGATATCATTGTAAAGTTGAACGAGCAAACCGCAGGAAGGGACAAATTAATAAGGTATATTGTTTATTTGAGTGTACATTATATTCTTTAACAATCTTAATATTATGCATGTTACATTTTCAAATTATTTTTAAATATTGAATGACTTTTGTTATATATAAAGTATATTATCTACTATACTTCCATATTGCGTTATATAAAGTATATTATATTATATACGTTATAATTTTAATTTTTAGGAACAAAATCTCTGACCAATATAAAATTGTTTTTCTTAATGAAAATATCAAGGAAAAGTATCATTTATTGTAGTTTTCTATATCTCAGAATTCTTGCAATAACAATAAATTTGAAATTTAAATTTTATTAAAATGCATTTAAGATTAACTAAATAATATAGATGTACTATTATTTTATTTATGTTTCTGAAATTTACTTTAAAAAGACATTTTTCAAAACTCAAAAAAATTTAAAACTAAGAAACTCTATTACATATTACAACTTTCCTAAGGAAATATTATTTAAAGAAAATGTATTTTTGGCATTAAAGCCAAAAAAAGCTATGAATTGCGGGACATCATATTTTTACCAATATTATCAAAAATAATACTCTCTAATTATTATATCTTACAGATTGCTGCAATATGGAAGTCGTGCTTACTGGTACTATGCACAAAATACACATAGGACAAGATACTCTGCAGAAATTTTGAGGAGTTTGGAATTTACTTTCAGTTCTTTTCGAAAATGTATTAATTTTTTAGCTTGTAAAGATATTTGTTTATGGTTGATCAATCAATATAATGTATCTTACTCTCTTGTTTTTTTTTCAGTACTCCGCATTGGAAGATGCTTGGACAGCTTGTATTCCGCTCTAAAAATGATAAAGTACCCTGATCCAATAGTGAGGATAATTTTGATAACGGCGAAGACAACAAACGCTTTGTATTTACTGGCGGATCATTTTATTTGGATGGGCAGAGTGGGAATTTTGAGAGTCAATCTAGAAAAGTGGAGTAAAGTCGCAAATAAATACTGGTTAATAACCATTATTATGAGTTTAATGAGAGATATTTATGAAATTATCAAGATTTTAGAACGTGAGAAAAATGTCTTCAAACGGCATCAAATATTATTCTGTTTGAGAAATCATAAGGAGGTAGTGATGGACACTGTTAAAAACGGATGTGATTTATTTATCCCATTAACTGCGCTAGGTATTGCAAAATGTACTCCAGGTACAATAGGTTTGCTTGGGATGATTTCTTCATTGATTGGTCTATATACAATTATCAATCCACTTTATAAATTATCCCCATCTTAGAATAGGATAATTATATATAATATATAAAATATGTCCATTAGATATGTATATGCAATATGTATATAATATATTTTGGTTAAAGGTGCTTGGAAATGTACATAAAAACATATGCAACTTTTTTTATACAAAAATATATAATTCTATAAATATTATATGTCTATTAAATCATTATTAAAAGAAAATTAATGAAACAAACACTATAGGTTTCTTTCTATTTTTCTAAAAAATTTATTTTATAGCTACTTAAGAGCCACCATCAGATTCCTCCAAGATTTTCCATTAGGAAGTTCCTTGGTCTCATTTACATATCTCTTACTATTGTAACTTCTGAAAATAACGACTAAGGCACATATTCGAAAAGTATAAATTTATGCAGACTTGAGGGCAAGATTGCAATATCCAATCTTCTTTGTCTCTATTTTTTTCCTCGTTTATTAAATTGACAAAGAAACGTTTTATTTGGCAGTAAAAACCTGTACAGACCTGATTAATAGATATATCATCTTATAAAAAACATTGTGTTTTTTAAACAGTATTATATAAAAATATTAACAATATCATATTTCAAGCACTATCTGTGAGTATAGGTGCTGCTCCTTCCTGGATTAATAACTCGTATTTGTTTGAATAATACATCAATGTAATACCACATTTTCCACAAATCATAGACCATACTGCTGATATAATAGTGCTTTCAGAAATTGGTTGAATGGCTACAACAATAAATAAATTCTTAAATATTTCACAAATTAGATTTTATTTAAATTTATGTATATAAATTTATACAAATTTATTTAAATACATTTAAATAAAGTTTAAATTTATTTTATTTACTTAAGAAAAAAAAGAAAGCTTTATATTATATTTATTTTATAAATATTTCCTTAATAAATAAAATAATATGCAATATATCTAGAATAATGATATGCTTACGTATCTTGTAGTAGAATGTAAGGAATAGGTACCAAATCAGTGCGATAATGCCAGTTACTGCACTCACAAAACCTACAACGTTTAAATTCCGCAGTGTAACTCTAGTGTGCCATCTCTCCAAAGTTCCTTTACCCTTCACCCAGTGCAAATGGAAACAAACTCCAGATAAAGCACCTACACATAATTCTTATATTAATAAAACTTTCAAATATAAAATCTTCCAATTTTTTATTGCGATTATACATTGAATTATGATATATATGTACCGGGACAAAAAATTATATATATTACAAAATTATTTTTGTATTTGTTACTTCTGTTGTAATATATATTGAAAATTTTTGTTAACCTCCATTGATAAATTAATGTATACTTTAGATTTTTGCAGTAAAAATAAACTTTACAATTAGATATTAATCCACGAATTAAAAGTTTTTAGTCTAGGAAGAAATACAGGTCAAAGAAACGTCTAATAGATCTCCTAAACGTCTTATAGATCTTACAGTCTATAAACTTCCATTAGATGTCTATTAGGCGTTTTTTCGACCTGTATTTCTCCCTGGGTAGGATATTTCAAAAATCTGTTCTGCAAAATAGGAGTTAAAATATTACAAAAATTAATTTAGTCTGATTCAGATACTTATCATTCATAATATGATTACACTAAAAAATAAAAAATTACATGAAAAAAACATTCTAATATCTCTATAGGGCATTATATAAATGGATTTGGATATTTTTTATAATAGCTATATAAAAAATATCAATATTTATTGTTATTCATGTTCAAAAATTTTCAAAAAAATTATAGCTAAAAAAGAAATATCAAATTAGGTTGACTGTATCAGGTGTAGCAATTGTGATGAATGTTATCTGAAATTAAATACCATTGACAATATTCAATTTCATTGATTGAAATATAAACTCCATCATTAACTTTAAACAATCTATAATTTGTAACAGAATTTTAAATAGATTTCGATTTATAATTTTACATATGTACCTTGTGTACAAAAATATTTGGAAAAATAAAATATAAATGTATATAAAACACATATCTGCTTCATTTTATATATATGTATATGCATTCTGATTCTTCAAATATTTTCTGTGTTGCACAGTATGTATGTAAAATTATAAATGAAAATATCTCCCTTAAATATCTCTCTTTTCATAAATATCGGACTGAGTAAGCGTAAAAGAGATAAAACAAATTGAGATACATCAATACAAAATGCAGACCTAAAAAAAAAGTTTGAAATTGGTTAAGAAAATAAAAATATGTCATATATAACACGATATGAAGTATGAAAGATATATTATACGGAAAGTTATTATATGGAAGGTTGAAACCTTCCATATAATTTATTTCGTTAAATCTAAATTCCATTATTAAGATTAAGAAACAGTGTTTCCTTTGTGTCATTCGTGATAGCAGTAATGAAGTGATAATTGACGTAAAACCTGATCTAAATGCAATTTATTACAGTAATTCGATTGTCGCGATAAATTGCTGTAACTTTTTTGCTATCACGCTACGCAATTTTTAGAAGCAATTTGGTTGCAGTGATTGCACAAGACCCACAAGATCTAGACCTAGTTCTAATTCTAGCAACTAGTTGCATGCAATTGTAGTAATATTTTTAGTCTTATGTATCAGCTTTAAAAAGACAATATATTTTATGTGTCACACCAACATAATCGTAGTATTTTATTCTGTAGTTAACAATAGTTTAGTTTACATCTAAAACTTGTTAGAAATGTTACTTTAGTTGCGTGTAATAAGTCACAAAAATAATTGCTGTAACTAGTAAGTATTGCTGCAATAAGTTGCATAAAAAATTGCATAGTCTGATGCTGGCTTAAGAAACTTCTTGGTATACATGTAGCATCAGAAATGGAATATATTGAAATTATATCGATTATTATTTCCTAGTACGAGATATTTCTTTTACTATAGCAACACATTAAACACGTTTTGCCAACGTTTGTGGTCAAATTTGACACAATTTAGCAACTCACTAACCTGCCAATATCGACCAAAATCCTACATCATGGTTCCCGTAAACAACGAACAGAACAAAAAATGCAGTCATACCGACGAATATGCCTATAGCACTAATTAACAGATGCACCAAGACATCGCGTAACATTTTATCGAGTGTTTGTTGATTACTTTATTTAGTAATGACAGCGTCAACCATGACGGACGAAAGCAAAGCACGTCGTTTTAAATACAGTTTTCAATTTAGCGATAATTTTTTCTGTCAAAAATTTCAAAAGAGATTATCATATCCTTTTAATATTAAAATTTTTTTGTCTTCTATTTTGCCTTCTGATTGATCTTTGTTCATTCTCAGGAGTCTGTTATCTCTACTAACATTGTTAATTGTTCGATAACTAGATTTGAAAAAGTTCTATATTTTTGTTTGAAGAGAAATCAATTCTAAATTTGATAAAGATTTTGTAATATAGAAAATATTTAGTTAATATATTTTTTTTGTTTTAGATGTTTTAGGATTATTTAGTACATAGAAGTGTAAGCGCCGAAGAGATAATGCGCTCAAATGCGCTTATTTAGGTTAAGGTGCACCTAGATGATAGCTCTGCTTAGTCTAAGAACGCTATGTTCTTCTTGATGCTCGCCATTGGTCGATTCCGCTCGGCTAGCGTCCGCTCTCGGATTGGCCCGTTTAGGACACGTGACTTCGGGTGTTTTCCAACTAGAACACGCTAAATTGCACTGTGTTACACCGTGTGAAACTTTTGTTGGAACGATAAAATGTAAATCTAATTTCTGAAAATCTCAGTAGAGGGCATTATAGTTCTCCATTTTTATTACTAGGAGAGATTGACATTATTGTAATTATTGTAACAACGAAATTAGAAGAGATTGACATTATTGTAATAACAAAAAATTATTGTAATTAATTTTTATAGTTAACCAAATTTTGAATGAGGATATATTTTGATTAAATTTTGTTTTAATTTTATTTTTATGTGAATTGCAGATGATGAATCGTAAGGTTATATTTACTTTGACTAAAACTGCTGAGATAAGTAGTGATAGTGATATTTCAATAAGCAGTAATGTTAGCAAAATGATCCAATGAAGCAATTGCGTTGTTACAATGTTTGCACGTGAATTCTGAAAAATATAATAAATTATGTAACAAATGTTTTATTGATAATAATAAGTAATAAAATTTGTATGGCATATTTTTTATTGTATTTTTTAATGTTTTATTTTACCACTGAGTCGGAGATATGATTGAGATTAAATTTATAGAGATAGAGCTTCACAATTTTCAATCTTGTACTCTCGCTCTCTCGTATCGTTGTATTATTACATTTATAGATTATGATCAAAAGTATTACCATCATTTAAAATTATAAGATTTCTTAAAATGTTGGTAACACTGGGACATTTTACACGCCTGTACTTAGCTTTTTATTGTGTCGAGCAGTGTAACATGGTGTCACTGTTGGAATAGTTTGTGTTGGACACAGTGTCACACTGTGTCATCTGTGTAACTTGTTGGAAAAC